AAGGTATCACAAAACCTCGTTCCGCTTTAACCAACCCGCCTTAATAGAATAGTTGTCATACGAAACTATATTACTATATGTAACACTCGTGAATTAGATTTTTTGGAGTATAAATTTATTATTTTTCTCGATATAGTGAAGATTTATACAATTTATTATCGATTCACTATATCGAGAGGTTTTTAATATAGTGAATCTCTTGATATTGTAACTATTATTCGGGAGAGAACTAAAACTAAACCGATTTGCACTCTAATAGTTACTGTGAGATAGGCTCTGATTTACTTGAATAAAGGTCTCTTCAGCACCACACTAGCTTATTTCCTTTATTTATTTTAAGTAAAGTCGAAGGGAATCTCCCCTTTATTAAAATTCAAAAGATTCCGCTTATATACATTTAAGTTACTGTCCTACACGTTAACGTGTTATTTAGCATTATCGTGCTATCTAGCACTTTGATGTGCTAAAATCAATGAATCCTTTAAGTCAAACACGTTGTCGTGTTATCGCAAACCTTCGATACCAATAAAATTTTACCCTTATTAACACATTCGTGTTAACACATTAATGTGCTATACAATTTGTACAAAAATGGACGATCATACGTTATCATTAGGATAAATACAAATTTCACCTGAATTTTGTCTATCATAATATAAAAATGGAAATAAGAGATACTAGTTCTTTAAAAGGAATATCTATATACATAAAAAGAAAAGAATATTGATTTTTCTATGTCACATATTTTAAATTTGTGACAATATAGTGAAATTTTCACAGCCCAAGGATTTTACTATAACGAGAATGGCTTGTAAATAAAATATTAATCATTTTTATTTGAATATTGGCCAAGAATTTTAGCGATTAAATAAATTTTCAAAAATTAAGAGGAAATTGCCCTGTAACTTCGTTTACAATTGGCATATTAAGTCAAGTAAATTTGTTCTATATATAGATATAATTGCTGCAAATAAAGTAATAAATACAGTAATATACGTTATTATAATATAAATACAGTAATATACGTTATAATTACAACAATATTGTTTTGATTTAGAACATAAATTTTATCCAATTTTGATTATAATTATCAGGTTTTAAACTTATGTAATTAAATAGTTATTTTATAGTAACTATAGTTTACATTTAATATAAGTTAGCAATACTCCTACTACTATTTTACTACTATGTTACTATATATTAGCAATACCTTTTATAACAATTTTATAAAAAATTAAACCTTTGATTTTTTATAAAATTGTAGAATAGTATTGCTAATATATAGTAATTAGGGATGGGGTACGGTCGGTCATTTTCGGTCAACCGTACCTATCCCTAATAGTAATGTAGTAGTAAAATAGTAGTAGGAATATTACTAACTTGTATTAAGTGTAAAATTACAGTTACTATAAAGTAACTATTTAGTTATTTATAGTTAATTGCAAGTAATATTAAAGTTGCAAATTTGCGTGTTTCTGTAAAATACCGTATAGTTCCGACAATAAGCACCCCAGCATGCACTATACCAATTTTGCCTGCATTATAATTATGTTGGCTTGCATTACATGCAAAAAATAGTTGCTTATTTTCGGAACTATACGATAAAAACAAGTTACTCTGTTGGTACAATCATAGTGGCTGCCGGATAATAAAATTTCTTCTGACATAAAAAGGTTTCATTTCTTCTATTATAATTATATAACTATATCAATTAGCGATATATCAATCATGATTTAGACTTTATTACTTTCAACACTTATGGTAGTGTAATTTTAATTTTATACCAAAATTCAGGTAGAAACTATGTTACAACACCTTCTATGGCATATATATTGGCTGTGTCCTGAAAAAGGGACCAACTTGACAAAAAAACGTTCTGCAAAACTTTGATTTTTATTTTATAAATTCTCTAATAAATTATAAGAAAATACAAACTTTAAAGAGTTGTACTGCAAATTTTATTAAGTTAACAGAATTTGTTTCTTAATTAAAAAAATATTTCTGGGATAATTTTGGATTAGTTAAGCTTAAAATAATTTTTTTAAAAAATTGTCAATTTGGTCCCTTTTCTCAGAACGTAGCCCATATAGTCGGCTGCGTTATATTTTAATAATAAACAAGTGAATTACTATTTCCACCATGGTAATTTGCCATAAATGATTAACCCCGACCATAACCCTAATCTGGCTATAATCTACATATCCATGGTGGAAATAACAAATTGCGATGGTGGAAATTGCAAAACGCTATAATAAAATAATAATACAGTAATAAATTTGTTATCTTTTTTTGTTTTTGCGTGATTTTGTTGATCACTTCCATTTCGGTTCCGTTCATTTAATCGACAACCAATTCACCGATAGTACGATTCACCGACAATCAATTCACCGACAGGTTCATTTCACGGACAGTACGATTCACCTACAGTCATTTCACTGACAATGTAATTTTGGTCATTGCCGATAGATAGGGTCAGGCTAGAATTAGAGTTTAGATTAGTGTAATTTATAAAAAAAAAAACTTGTCGGTGAAACGTACTGTCGGTGAATCGTATTGTCGGTGAAATAAATTTGTCAGTGAATTGATTGTCAGTGAATCGTACTGTCGGTGAGTGAAATGAACCGGATCCCTTCCATTTTTGTGTCTTTTTTATGAATTTCTTATCGGATACCTACTCGACCGATCCAATGTATAATAAAAGTAATTTCTCAAGTTATTCAAAGCTTTGATGTACATGCAAAAGATATAAAAATGAATATAAACATTTCCGCCTTTTCTTTTATGCAAAGTTTTTATAATTAGTTAATCCATATGCCAATTTATTAATTATATTAATAATATCATTGCTACCTGTGTTCTGAAAAACGCTACCTGAAAAATTTTAGTGAAATGAGTTGGGAGTATGTAATTTCGTTTTTAAAATGATTTTCAAACAATCTATTTATATAATTTGAGTAGGTTTTAAATCTCATATAATAAATATAATTTAATAATATAACAACTATAGCGGCAATGGCAAAGATTGGGATGCTTATCAAAAATATAAAAATCAAACCCGTATTGTTCGAATCGTTCATGGTTGTGCAATGTTTTTAATTTGGTGGTAAGAAATTGTAATGTCAAAACATTTGTCAAAAAATTATTATATTTGATGTTAATACGATATGTTTAATATTCTTTAGCATCCTATTTCCGATATCAATTTTCATTGTTCGATATTTCAAAGTAAATCTCACGTTAACAAATTTCATTCGCATAAAAATTTTTGCATAATTAAAATATAAATTTCAATCAAATACGTCTAGCATCATAATCTGTATCTTAAAGCTCACAAATTTTTACAATTCGCGGGTGGTGTTTCTATCTCGACTTTTGGATCTCTAGCCATTGCAACTTATATTCAAAAAACTAAGCCACATTATTGGTATTTTATTCCGTATTTTTTTTTTTTTTTACTCTAACTTATAATTGTATGTTAAATCAAATTTCATTTGCGAACTTAGGGTTGCTTTAATAGTTTTTACCTTGTCATTTACCCAAATAGGTAACACATTAATTTTATTAAAATCATAAATTTACATTTTGGGTTAATGTTTATTTTTATTTTTTTTATTAGGTTCAGGTCTACTAATTACATGGGGACAAAATGCTTTAGTATCAATTAATAAGGTACTTTAAATATGCAAGTATTTATTTATTATTATGCATTAACTTTATTACTAATTTATATTAGGGCTATCCAAGATTTATAAAACGTTTTCATCAATTAGCTGGGTGTTCACTGGTAATGTTAGCATGGTAATTATCATGATGTTTAATAAGAATATTTAAAATACGTTCTATCATTCAAAGAAAAATAAATTTCCTAAATATATGAAATTATATAAGAAACAATATTACCCTATTTTTTACACATATATAAAAAATGCATTTCGTCAGACATCGTATCATTATAATGATTTTGAAGTTTCTTTTTCTTAAGAAAACACTATATTTATTAATATTATTTTATTAATTAATCTAATTTATTAACTCAAAAAAAAAACAGGTTCAATATATATCTAGGTAAGCAATTTATATGCAAATCTAATTGTATTTATTTATTTCTTACTGTGAATATTAATTTCGTATTTTCAGGACTTGATGCCTTCGAAACCTATTACAACTAGTAAGTACACATGTAGCATTTAAAAAGTTTTAGAATTTAAGAATATTCTGTATAGCTAGAAGTAATTATAAATACGCACAAAATAGACATAAAAAAGTTTTTACAATTACATACAAATTAATTTTGGAGAGCATTAAAAAATTAAGCCATAGCTTCATACTTTACAGACAAACTATTTTACCGACAATTAATTCACAGACAAGTTCATTTCACCGACAAGTTTTTTCATAAATTGCACTAACCTTAGTGTTCCGCGGAACCGAAACGAAGACCCGGAACCGACTGAACCCTGCCACGATTTGGGTCCGGGTTTATGATTCTTCTGACCCGACCGGTTCCGGGTCTTTATTTGGGCCCGACCCGACCCGAAATAAGATGACGCACGCTGATTGGCCGAATTTGGATTCGCCCGGGTTTTTTCAGTTTCAGGTCTTATCTGAACCGACTCGAACCGTCCCGTGAGGCACTAACTAACCTTAACTCTAATTCTAAATGACCAAAATTGCTTTGTTGGTGAAATAAACTGCCTGCGAAATGAACTTGTCTGTGAATTAATTATCGGTAAATAAGCTTCTCTGTAAATTAATTTCCGATGAACTAAATTGTCGGTGAAATGAATATTAAAATGAAAATTAAGGATAAACTAAATATGAAATTAAAAAACGAAGATGCATGGCATGCTCTGTAACTGTTATTAGTCGGGTTATTATGACTTTGACAGTTTCTTTTTTTTTTGAGATTTAAAAGTTATAAAATTTTCTGACCTATTTTCTAATATAGTTTTATGTATTCGAATTTAACGTTTTATGTTTTCTAACTATTGACTAGTGATATGAAGTGGATAGAAATAATCTTTGCTTCTTGGATATTTTTAATAATTACTTGCTTCGTATTTTTCGAACTCAAATGGAATCATGATTTTATGAGTGAGAAAAAATCTACGAGACACCCTTATATTTGTAGTGAAGTTTATAAAAAATTGCCAAATTTTACTTGGAATGAATTTAATGAACGTGTTCAACATGGTGTAAGTTTAAATTATTCTGATTTAAAAATTCTGATAATTAAATTATTAACACACATATATATATATATATAATGATTACGATTTAGGCTAACTTTGTTGTTTGTGGTGGACTTGTAGTTGATGTTCACAAATGGATGCATTCTCATCCAGGTTGGAAAAAGGTTTAATTATTCAAGAAAAAGGAATAACTTAATATTTTTTAACATTGAATTTAACAAATTTAATAGGTGGATTTCATATAATTAGAAGGGTTTGTAAATTTTTTCAATTATTCGCAATACACAAAAAAAATCATTAAATTTATTGTTTAACTCGTTATAATAATTTGTACATATAAACTATTAGGTTGTTGGGTCAGATATTACCAATGGTAAAATTCTAAGATTATTGAAGATCAAATTTTGCTTATTCAGAACTTCATGACATTATGCATATTTTTTTCATACATAGATTTTTATAATAAGCATCAAAATATTTCAATCACTGAAGAATTTGATGAACCATGCATTCCTATACTATCAACCGAAGGATTTTCCAGGAAAAATTCTACGATACATAAATATATTCATCATCTTCAAGGGAGACATACTGTTGAGGAAAAGAGTAATTTTGCTACCAGGATTGATATTCTTAATTCAAATTATTATAAAAAAGTTCCGATTGCTCAACATACTCATAGTAAACTTGCGATTCAGAAGATGGCTTCAATGGTTATTGGTAAAATTGAAAAAGTTGAAAAAGATCATATGTCAGATAAATTTTCTTTAATAACAACGTCCACTGGTAGTCAAAGTTCACAAATTGGTTATTATAATAATGAACTATTTTCTAGTATAGAGAATAAATTTCATCGTTATAAGCTTACTAGTAAAGCGATAGTTAATGTAAATAAGAAAATCCCTATAATGAGATTTACATTCACTAAAATTTATCAACATAAAAATTATAATAATGAGAGATTCTATCCAGGAAATTATGTTGAGTTATTTGCAAAAGTAAAAGGTCAAATGGTAACACGAAAATATTGTCCACTGGAAGGCACAATTTCAAAATCATTTTCGATTTATGTTAAAATTTATTCGGACGGACTTTTATCTCGGCACTTGGTATGATATGTTTATATGTAAATTATTTCTAAAAAATTATCTTTTTTTTTTTTTACATTTCTTTTTTATGGTATTTCAGAATAAACAACTATTAGGATATGAAATTTTAGTCCGTGGTCCGTTCAATATCGAATTATCACCTTATGTTGGACCATTACTGTTTACTCCAAAAGGTTCTTTATTAAATCCGAATAGCATTGATGGATGTTGGGATGAATTATACATGATTGCCGGTAAGCTTATTTGTTCATTGTTTCTTAAATCGACTGTGATTAATTTTTGCTTGCTTGCATGCATCTAGGGGGTACCGGTGTAACACCAATGCTACAGGTACGTAACTGAAAATGTAATAGCAATTCATAAAACTATGAAAAATCGTTTCAAGTGCACCAATCAGACTTTAAATGATCAGCACCAATCAATTCACTAGATCAAGTGAAACGTGAAACCGATGAATAACTCGTGATTTTGACTATACCACCTAAAATTTAATAAAACAAAACTTTATGAAATTTTGATATAGTATAATCTGAATGCTAACTATAACATGGGGTTTTAGTATTTTAAAAATATTGCACATATTAAAATTGTATGAGATCTGATTGGTGCATATTTGTCGATCCTTCATGGTCTTAGTGGGTAGTCGCTAAATAATATGCATTTTTATATTAAAAAATCTTTTTTTAATAATTCAATTAATATGATTACTGTATAATATGTATAATAGTTGATAAGGTATCATTTGGAACAATCAGCAAAACAAATTAATGATCATTATAAGATGCATTTACTATATGCAAGTGACACAGTCCAAGATATCATTGATGGCATATTACTCGAAGATTTAGCACTCACAAGTCGTGGACTATTTACCGTGGCATATTGCCTTGCAAATCCACCTGATGAATGGAAAGGCTTAAGTGGAATAATTGATTCGAACTTAATAACAGAATGGTTATCTAAAATGGGGTGTAAATTATATCCATTTTTATCTGAACAACAGCAAAGTTCTCTAAATGCTGGTACCATTTTATTCGGTCATTCCATACGTGATATCGACGCATATAATTTTCAAGACGATCAAAAAAAGTCAACGCAACCTTTTATCTCCTCTCTATCGCAAGTTAATAAAGAAATAAGCGAAGACTTTAATAATAATAAATTCTCATTACAAAGGAAATTATCTAAACAAAATTCTCAACTATCGTCAACTCTTTATACGCTTTCTTCAGCATTACGAACAGACAACTTACAAGAATCCAGTTCACTATCATCATCAGTAATCACGACTTCTGAAGATGAAACTGGATCTATGACTAGGGCAATAAGAGGAATCAGTCCTTTGTTTGATAAAAACTCCGGAACTATCACTTCGCATCGAAAAATTATTGTTTGCGGACCAAATGAAATGATAAAAGTTGTAGAAAATATTTTGTGTAACATGGGATTCGACGAAAGTGATATGATTTTATTATATAATTAATACTTATCCAACCTAGCAAGTTAAGAATTTTCTTAATTAATTAACTTACTGTAACTATTTTATTGAACCATATCTTAAAACAAAAATGAAAAAAATACTCAAATCTATTTCAAAACACAATATTACTTTATAAATTTACTCAAAGTATAGAAAAAAAATAATTTAATCAAAAAAGTTATTTGTCAAGATATTTTTGTCATTAACCACTTCGATATTCAATTATTTAAAACAAAATTTATAATTATAATAAACCAGTAATTACATTATAAAGTACATTAAAATATTAATCTCTAATAATGTTCATTCATAAGAACGCGACCAGATGCTAGAAATTATTGTGACAGAATAAAATGAAATCAGATTAAAATGAAATTATGTATAACAAACGAAGTGTTGTTTGAACTTAAAGAAAGATATGTATCATAATTATAGATGGGTGACGAAATTGACGAAATTATAAGTGACGAAATTATTTTCATAGTGACGAAATTGACGAAATACTTATTTCGTCAGATTTCGTCAATTTCGTCACCCATCACTAATCATAATATTAAATATAAGCATGAAAGGAATTCAATTATTAGTTCCATCACTTTTATACATTACAGCATTATAATTGTACTTGAAGTTACAATTGCTTGAAATTGCAACTTTAAGTAGATTATATTTTTAGGCCGATAGATTTCATTTTTCTGGCGGCCATTTTATCAATTACGGCTGACTAAATTCATAGTTAGGATTATCATGAATTAATGTTAGTGTTGATATAATTAAAAGTCGGCAAAAAAACTGTCGGCCAACATGGCAATAAAAAATTCAAAGGTAATTCAAAGGTAATTCAAGGGGTAAAAATATATCAATTCGAAATGTATTATGATCAAATAAAAAAAAAAATAATAAGATGGCATAAGTTTTATTAAAAATTTCAATTTTTGTATCGATAAGTGTTTCAAAAAAATAGGTTTTTCGGTAATAGTGACAAAATAAACTTGAGAAATCGGATTCTTAATATCTTCTTTATGTTCAAGACATCGAAGTCTAAGAATACTTTTTTAAGGCAAAATTCTTACATTTTCCTTCCTATAATCTATTGCGCATCACCACCTTTCTTAACTACAAGGTTTATTACTGTTAGGCCTCACTTGAAGTGTTTCCGTGATTGATCACGAATTCATGTGACTTAGATCGTTATGAGCAGGGATGTGAAAAGTCAGGTACGATCAGACTTGACTGAAGTCGAGTTTTAATTTAGACTCGGTCCCGAGTCATACTTGGGACCAAGTTCTAGTAGTCACATGCAATATTGGATGTCATGGGATTATAAAGATAGGTTCGAAATTTTTACTTTATTAATGTTAAATTTTATTATTTATGCAGCGACAAATGATTAGGTTGTAGCTGCGCAGCGCGTGACGCCACGCAGGACCAGTACGATCACGTAAATTCGGCTATTCTTATTTATAAAGGATCTTAATATTCAATAATTAATTTAAATAAAATCGAAATGTAATAATGACAAGCAAGACATCCAACTGCCAGACCCAGCAAACGGTCTGTCAATTTTTTTTTCATGAACAACACAGACATACCCAACACTATAATGCCACAAGGCCTAATCCCCAATAATATTCAAGCGGCAACCTCAATCCCAAAAAATACCTTCATCAAAATTTTACATGAGATATCAGATAACATATACAAAAATATATGGCTAGAGCGCTGCAAAGGACACTTCTAACGGATGCTAATACCATTACACTCCCATCCCACCCTTCTACACACCACATTAGCATAAACAAATACAATGAATAAGCAAGAATCTTTCCCACAACCAATATATCTACATCTTATATAGCTAAACTAAATCTAGTGGAGGCCAAATGGCCCACTTTAGTGGAGCTTTGGGTTGAGGATAAATTAGTTCTAGCTGTAGATCCCTGTTATAATTCATGTAACCCATTTAAACAATGTAATGCATAATTATTAAATAAAGACCGAGACCAGGCCTCACTCTATAAAAAAAAAAAAAAAAAATGTAATAATGATGCTGTAAACTCGAACAGTTATCTTTTAGGCCATCCAGTGAGAAATCTACTGTCAACTATGGATATAACGGAAATCTGGGCTAACAAAAAAATTCCGTTATATAGCATATTCGTTATATCT